CTCAAGAACGGGCGCCGCTAGGCTCAGGTGACGTGCAGCCCAAGTAGAAAAGACTCACAAGAATACGTTGGCGTTCTGGAGAATTAGATTGTCTTGCATCGAGACCTTGTCCTTCATCCCTTCGTGAAGTTGAGGTTTGGCGATGCTTGCCTTTGCAGGCGCTGTCACACAAGCGGCACTGACCCGCCACCCTTTCCCTTGGCTGTATTGAAGTGCTCTAGAAGCCCAGAGCCCTTGGAGAGCTTGACAACAAGTCTGAGAACGTTTCAGGAACCGCAGATCAATAGTCTCACACAAGTTCTTGAAATGCCGGCGGGAATCGGTGGGACTTTTCCAAACCTGGAAAAAGATCCGTGCAACGATGACCTTTCACGACAGGTTCTTCTCAGCGGAGAGTGCGTCGCATTTTTCTTGTATCGTTTTGTAGCAGTTGGCGAGAATCGTTTGCGGAACTGGCTGTCCTTGGCTGCAGCAGACTAATGCCGTGTTTGCAAGTGTGTTTGCAGTTCCCGGCCTGCGCAGCCATGTGAGTGCAGAGCACTCGCTCAAGCATCGCTAGCTAAGTGCAAGCAGAAGTCAGGCCACAAGAGTGCCCACCTCGTGTCTTCACGGCCCTTGCCTCCAACACCCGAGCCTAGCTGGATGCAGTTTGATATGAACATCTTGAAAACTTGAGACGCCCCGGGTGAACTCCAGTCAACCCCACACCTCCCACGACCCGCAAACCAGTCCCAAGCCTGAACGTCGCCCTTGAAAAGCGGATGCCGTGGCCCGCGAAGTGCCATGGAGGAGGAGGCGCCGGCCATGAGGGGAAGTCACCGATCCGAGACATCCCTAGGCCCCAGACCCCAGGCTAAGCCCCTAATCAAGCCCCGGGGAGGGTTCGATCCGATCAGATCCAATGAGGCCAGCTCCGCCCCCGAGGCCGCCGGCGAGGGGCTCCGGCCCGCCGGACCCCCGAAGAAGACAGCCTCCGTCCTCCCTAAGAAAAGGGCTACCTGTACGGCATGCGACGGCTAGGGCTCGGGCCGTCTTTTGGAAATGTTTGCGACTTGGCATGCCCAGCCTTTGTGCGTGAATCCCCAGTAAATTAGGTCTCCGACCACCCGCCGTCTGCGAATGCAGACTTCAACTGGGACGGCTATGCGTCTTACGATTCGCTGGCCCCTCACTCAGAGTTCACGGGCTGCCTTGGCAACACTGACAGTATGACCGCCCTTTCACCATGACTTCAGTGAACGTCATCTTGCAAGCCAGGCTACAGTCGCTGCGGCGTATGATCGAATGGCGCCGGGGCTCCCATGTGCACCCTGTGGAAATCTTTAAACGTCCCGCTGGGTTGTTTCTTTTGACTCTGGTAGACTCTGAGGCCATTGGGCAGAGTTCAGGCCGGGGCTCTGCCCACATGATCACGGAAAGGGAGCAGGAAGGAAGGTAAGTTCCCGGTTGACGAGCCTTCTGCTGATGCGAGGCCATCTTTGAGTCCCAGCAGAAAGACCTGAATGCTGTGCAATGCCCTTAACGACAAAGGGATGCGTGGATGTGATCCCCACCACGAATCTGGGTCGCCGAGGTGGGACGACATGCGGGACAAAGTCTGCGGCTCGTTGATGCCAGGCAGACCGCAGCAGGTCCGCTGCTTTGCGAGGATTTGCTAGCAGAAGCTCGCCCCTTCTCGTACAACCGCAGGCGGCTGCAGGCAGCGCCGTGCCGACCAGCTGCTGTTCCTCGGGATTCTCTGCACTTGTGTTGGCAAACTCAGACAGCCCAAGCTGAGGTGCCAACAGTGCATGCTCCAGCCGTACACCCGCTCCAGAGGCCGAATTGATGCTGTGCTGAGATACACATAAGCATTTCAGGATAAAGTTGCTCCTCCGTTATAGAACAGACAGAGGGGCGACTTCGTGTTCCTCTCGGCTTGTGGCTCAGGCGCCGGCTACAGTGGCGCAGGGCGATCTTACAGAGGACCGGCACCCCAGGAATCTTGCAATGCGGTCGACAGCCCTCTGTGGCCACAATCCTGCTGCGCAGCCGCACACATCCGGAGTGAATGACCGAGCGCTCCCCGAGCATGTTGACAACAAACAGGCGCAGCAGCTACTTGTAGCAAAGTCAAAGTCAAGATGATGCCACCGCACAGAGTCCAAGCGTTCTCCAGACCAAGCTCAAACCTAGTTTCGTTTCGATCGCCAGAGAACTGCCTGGAGCTTTTGGCAACAGCATGATACTGTAACGTTTCGCACCACTCCGCCTGTAGCGTGGACTCAGCCCTGTCGGCAGAGAGCAAGTCAGATTGCAGTGCCCGCAAGGCTGGCCACATGCGTGAGCATGCGTGTGTTTCCCAGTTCTTTTCCTGCTGTTGCAGTGGCTTGCAGATAGAAGTCGTACACGGTAGCTGGTCGGCCTGCGCGTATGCATGCAGGGCTTGAGTAAAAGGAAAGTGCGAACTTATTGTGGCAATCAGGTGCTGGCTGTGGTCGCGTCTTGGCAGTTCTCTTATGACCCTGACTGATCGCAATGCGTGTGCTCCTCAGAGGACAGCCTTCCGGCTGTGAGGCAGCAGGTACAGTATAAGTTTTGCAGCTTGGCAAACCAGATGGTCCCTGGTCTTTGCTGAACCAGTCCAACCGAATTTGCTTTTGCACTGCTGCTCTGAAGGTGGCTGGAAGATGAGAATAAGCGCCTAAGACAGGACGAGAGGGCAGATTGCAAACATGTGAGCCTCAACGCCTTGGCTATCATGCAATGTCAAATAAACAACCATTACGACTCGGGCCAAAAGCAGAGCGACTTCTAGGAACCCGAATCGCAGAAGCTAGGGTATATGCCAGGACCGCATAAATGCGACCAGCCGTTATTGATTTGTTGCCCATCTCCGCGTTTCGCCCGTGCGTCGTGAGGAGTTGGAAGACCTGTCGCACAGCATCAAGAAAGCCGAGCAGGCTCCACTTTCTAATCTGCATCCTTTCTCTCTCTTTGCTCTGCTTCTCGAACTTGCAGTTTGGGGTCTACGGTTGTGCCCACCCTGAACCCTGAACCTCTAAACCCCTCTAAATCCCAAGGACCCTTAAAGTACCCTTACAGTATGATACAAAACCCTTGTACTACCACCCTTAATAAAACCCTCATAGTGCCGTTCTAGAACCCTGTACCCCTTCATACATAAATAACTCCTAGTACCCTTAATGGAACCCTCACAGCACCTTTCTATGTAGTACCCTCATAGTACCCTTATTTCACTTTTACGGTACGCTTATGGTACTGTTATGGTACTTTTATGGTACCCTTATGGTACCTGTATGGTAGCCTTGTAGATTTTACCTGAACTTCGCTTCGAAGGCCTTGAACTCCTCGGGTCTCGGAGAGTCCAAGTCTCGCGCTGAGCCTCGAAGAAAGGGCTCCTTCAAGACCTTGAGAGTACCCCGAAAACTCCGTGAGGGTGTTGTTATACAGGTACTGTGAGGGTTTCCTGCGTGCGAGGATAAGGGTATGATAAGGGATCTATGAGCGTACTATGAAGGTACTACAGGGTACTATAGGGGTTCTGTGAGGGTTTGAGAGTGCGACAAGGGTTCTCTGACTGAGGGCACTACGAGGGTCTGTATTAGTTGTATGAGCGCTCTAAAAGGGGTACTAGATTGGTTTAAGGTCTTTGGCAAGGAGGGGGGAAGTTGCGTGTGTGTGTGTGTGTGGCGAGGGCGGAAGGAAGACAAGCTTCAAGGCCCTTGCATTAAGGATCCAATCGAGGATCCCGAATTTGGGGTGCTGAAACACAGGTCACCTCGGCGACCTGTTTTTCTGAAACCCCCACAATTACTCGCAAGTCACCGTGTGGAAGGGCTGTTCTTGGGCACAGTATGGCAGAGAGAAGAGCCCCTATCTTATGCTGTCGGTGGTGAGAACCGGTAATGCTGCCCATCTTGAAAGCCTGTTGAGTGACGCAAACATCTTTACCTGTTTGGTTGTGGAGTTTATCACATGTTGTGCAAGAGGTCCAGCAAGTTGCTTGCTGCAGCGGGAAATAAGCACATGCCCTGCAGTGGGCAGTCTGAGTCTCGTCGGACCTTCAGATCCCGGAGGTGCAGTTGTATGTGACGTCAAGGGGGAAGGCCTTGTGAGACCCCATGATTGCTGCCCTGGCGCCCAATCGCGAAAAAAAGGTGCTCCGCACCGGGCATTCCAAACCCGAGAAAACAGGGCAAGAAGAAACAGCCTCCACGCTGCATGCATGGGGAAAAACACTCTGTGCGCGCTCCTCTGTGCTGCAGTCGGGGTGATGTCGGGCAAGCCCCACCCCACAGGCGAAGAGACGAGGGCATGACCCCAACCCTGCCAGCAGTGCGACCAAGGCCTACACTTGCACAGAGGCAGCACAGCATTCAGCAGGGAGTGTGGACGGATTCAGCATCCATTGAGACTGAAACCTGCCTTGTATGGCATTGTATGGCAATCCGGTGGCAATGGATGCAAGACCTGATGACCTGATTGATCGTTTTTGATCCAAGCCGATTGGTGTCATGGTCGAAAACATCGTCATGATGATGACCACCATCAGTATCACCGTCATCATCCTGACCAGCATCGTGACCAACAGCATCTGCACACCAAGGGAGCTAGCCTTCACATCGTGACTGGTTAGGGCCCGAAACTCGGCTTGCTACAGCTGCTACGCGTATTTGCAATAAGCTGTTGACTTGAAAACTTTTGAGGAGTCTCGAGCCTGGTCGGAGAAGCTGCAGATGCTTGAGCTGCGGTAAGTCAGACTCTAGTTGTTCTGAACAGAAGCCTGTGGATCAATTAAGATGCAGACGCAGAGGAAAACTTGGGCATCAGGGCTCAGCGATGTCAAGGCTTTGGAAAGTCGGCACCAAGCGCATGTCGCACTGAATTCGGCGTTTCGGCACCAGGGAAGTCCACTCGTCAGCATGCTCCGGCATTACGTCGCGTGATGCACTCAAGAGCTCGAGGAATGACGGATCATCCTTTCTTAAGGGTGCAGAGGCGAATCTTCTACGAACACTGATGTTCCTTTCGTATAGGGTCCTTCGTCACAATCGGTCGGAGGGGGTTATTTATCCGCTCTGGCGCAACTTAGCGTATCCAAGTGTTGACGTGGCGCATTACCCAGATTCCGTAGAAACGCCATGAGCGGTGGGTACCAGCCACCTTCTGACACAGCCATCCCGGCCTCGTTGCTGTGTCGCAAGCGGTAAGGACGGCCGCTGAGACTGAGCACGATACCCTGTAGGTCCATGAGCGATTTGCGTGATTTCCTCCAAGTAGTAGCTTCGCGCGGCAGGGGTGGCCTTTAGGCCGATCGATGCCGCTTCCAGATGATGGTGCAGTACAGCTTGGCCCTTGCCGTGCAATGTTAACTGAGAAATGTCTGAGAAAGGACAGGGGTGCAAGTGTGACTGCATTGAGGTGCACCCACATAGATGCCGCGATGGCGAAAGCATCGTGCGGGAAACTGGGTTACTTTCAGGACGGGCATGCTTGCATGCTAGCTTGTTTTGCCAGAAATCCATGCTGCTTGATGAGATGGAATTCTGACAGGACAACTACACGGAACAGCTGATAAAGACCTGAACTTATGCTACTCTTGAACAGAAGAGTCATGTTTCTTGGGTTGAGCCATGCTTCCTTAGCAAGACAAGGCAGCGATCACAATGCAAATCTCCACTTATTCATCGAGGTGGCTTGCGGGGGCAGGATGACTTGGAAGTGATTTTGGAAACGCGTTGCAGCCGTGATGCGGCCCGCTTGACATGCCCAACAGGCTACTGGTCTCGGGTCGAGGCCATTCGAAAAACTGTTAGGTTCTCAGTTCCCAGTGATATTGGTGGAATGAGCTCGCACTCTCCGCACCCGATGCGCACATGTCCGCACGGAGTGGGGAAGTTGCTGGCGTCCAAGCGTCCAAGGTCCTTCAGTTTCTGCAGCGAGCCCCCAGTGGTCCAGTGCAGGCTGCGACCCCAACCTCGCCACCGGCACCATTGTAACGAGCCTTGATGTGAGGGCTTTGATCTTATTGACCAAACATAGTTCCTGAACTCATGGACTCATTGAGGCTGTGCGTTGGTGCATGTGGAATTTCTGGAACGACAGTATATTTTGAGGTCCGCACTCCTGAACCTTAGCAACGCCACTGCAGCGCCGGTACAATACTCTTCCCGATCCTTCTCGAAACCCAAACCGCAGATAGTGAATCTTGGTGCCGGCTTCGACACCATCTACTTCTGGCTGAGAGAGGACCGGTTCTTCCAACTCCGGAACGCTCAAAGTTTGCAGGTTTGCGGTTTGCCGGTTTAGGTTCTTGCTGTGGCCCCAGACCGTGACTCAAAAACGGTCTTGCTGCTTGTTGAACAATGAGCACCATGCTTCGTTTGCCAGGAGTCATCGAGATGGAGGGACGACCTTGTGTACTTCGAAGTAGATTTTCCCGAGGTCGGAGCAAGTACACCATAAAGCCGGTGTGGGCTGAAGTGCAGGCAAAATCGCGGAAAGATGAAGCAATCTCTGCAGTTGCAGAGTCACGGGCAGGTGCTCAGCAAAAAGATCAGCGCGATCAGCAAGCGTCAGGGTCTTTGGCCGATGCTGGACGTGTCGGCTCTGGAGGCGCCAATGGCAGTCCAGGGTCTTTGCCCTCTCCTACGTATTGCTTGCTCTTTCAAATGGCCAGGCTCGTAAGATTCGTAAGCGGCATCTATCGGCACGCCGCTGCTATCCACTGGTCGCAGTCACTGGTTTAGCTGTGCCAGGACTTGACTCGAAGAAGCTCCTCTGGCATGAAAGAAATCAGGCACGTGCTCACAGTATGGGGAAGACATCTTCTTATGGCAGCAGTCGTGAACGGTCCAGACTTCCGTCTGCAGCTTGATGATCAGATTCAGATGTTTCTAAGCATTCGGAGGACAAGGCACTTCCGACTCATCCAGGCCGACATGCGTGTAGCTTGATCCCCAGAGCGTGGCTGTACCTTACGCCGATTTACGCGCCCGCTAATGTTGCTCAGTTGCTTTGGCTGAGGTTCCGGAGATGAATGCTGCCCTTTTAGATGCGGGGCCTGCAGCCCAGTTCTGTACATGCTACAGGCCGACATTGCTCAGTTCCGTCCCCGGAAACAGCTACAAGCAGCTTCGGGATTCGGAGACGCATCATCCCTACAACCTCACACTCTGCAGCCTGCACGTCTTGCACTCAAAACACTTTCCCACTGTGGGTATCAGTTCATGATTGGAAACTCACTCGCGTTTATCGTTACGAGATGCGCAACTACTACTCCATTACTATCCCGAGGTTTCGAGGCGACGTGCCCACTTTGTTCATGGCAGAGTGCGTTCTGGTGTACATGCAGGCCAGGCAACAAATGCCAAACAAGATGCCCATAATTACGATGTCGATCAAGCGTCCATGATTACCCCGGTAAGTTGGGAGGGACAGATGCTGCATGCTCCTAAGTCTTGCGGAAGTGCAATGTCTTGGTGCTCCACAGGCGTCACATGGTGATGGCATAATCGCGTGGGCGGCTTCCTCGGTGAGCCCGTCTTGATTTTGTCGAGAAATTCGCCGAAGTGTCGTATCCTGCGGAGATCATGCTGTACTTTCAGGCAGTATCGACCGTCGCAGGGGATGGAAGCTGATGCTTGCAGTCTGCATAGTGTTGCAGAATCAGAAAGGATCGCTACAGAAGAATGCTTGTCTGCCAGGTCCCTTCAGCGCCTTCGGCCATGGTCATGTATGTGTCTCTGCTGCCAGATATAGACATGCAGGGAAACTGCACCAAGACAGACAAGTCTTGCCTTAGGGCGAAGTCAGATTCTCAGGCCTTTGGGATGCTTCTTTCACCTTCTTTCGTTACAGTCCACCATAGCACGCCAACATTCACCATCATCGGTAGAAAGAGGGCAACCTTCATTCCACATCACTGTCGCGGGAGCATCTCTTGTATACATCGAACTTGTCGTGACTGGCACAGCACGTATTCGACGTTTTTACGAGATGTCCCACAAGGAGCAGACCAATCCTCACGATCGCTTCGGCAAGGCCCGTTGCTTGCTGTCTCTTCGTACAAGTTTTGCCAAAACTGTCCTTGTTCGGCGAGCCCGTCTGCCCTGCATTGCCAGCCATGTCCGAACCACAACCCCGTAGTACCCAAGCGTTGTCGTGGAGTGGCAAGATTCGACTGCAATTGGGCATCTTGCTGCTCATGCCAAGCAGACAAGCGCAGCTGCAGGTGATGGTGCGCAATCTTGCAGAGCGCGGCTGTCCGTTGCTGTCTGTCTTCGAGCCCGGCACCCCGGTTGGGCTGGGATTCCCTTCCTTCGTCTCGCTCGTGGACTGTGCAATGGCTGCTAAGTTATCCCTCAATGGATGCGCAGAAGTCGCGCTATCTGGAGAGGGGCTGCTGGCTTAGCTGTTCGCATTGCAGCCAGGAATAGAACAGCATCTGTGCGGAAGCTAGCCGTCGCTGCAAGCCGAAAAAGTGCACGCAGCAGGAGTGCGCATGCAGTGATTCAGCGAGGCTGGAGTTGCTGCACGATCGCCGACATGAACGAAATCTACAGTCGTCATCTCGATCAAAAAGAGGTCGAGGCTTGGCATCAGTGATTAAGACCATTCTCAGATTGGATCTCAGTCTCTTCGAGGGTTTGTGCCGACGACTTCCGCTGCAGCATGTGCCTGCAGCACCGAGTGAAACGCCCGCACTTCCGCCGGCCTCTAGCACGTAGTTTGTTTGACAGTTGGGTGCGGGATGTTGCAACCTTCCCGGGCTCTCGGAGGAAAAACTGGCGTCACTTTTTTGAACCAACATGGTTTTCCCCGACTGAACTGAGGAGAGGATTCACAAGATCGAGCTGATGGATGAGTTCGAAGAGCTGGCTCCCCAGAGCCTCATCCAGATCAAGAGCAGCCGTAGGTGGCAAGTAGCTAAGCCGCGAGGCCGAGCTCATGCAATCGCTATGCATATGGGTCGCTCTCGTTCTATGGCAGGACGACACAGCACATCATCCGCAACATGTTGACATTAGGGATGTCTAAGTATGTACACAACAAGGAAGTCAGCCTGCAAATTCGGGACATCACTACTACAGGATTCTAAAGAGTGTGTCGGGCCACCCCTCGCCTGCACGTGGACAATTTCATTGCCTCTGGGCCGCTGACATGGGTTGACGATCACCCTGAGTTGCAGAGGTGGCACCTGATTCAGGGGAAATGCCGGCTGGTTTTGTAGACAGCCACAGGTAATAAATGCGTTGCCATGCTTGGTGTCCGGTTGCCGCTTATCAGATTGAGCATGGAGCTTGCTTCGACCAGTGCAATCGCAGCGACGAGTCTCTCAAAGTCAATCCGACCCCGTGTCCTCGCCACCTACCAATCACGACAATGGCTGCTCCGCAACCGCAGGCTGGCACTCAGAGGGTTTCCGCGCGCTTTGATGGACTTTCGTGGACCGGGAAGCATTCCTAGCCTCACCGAAATTGCTAAGTACATTCAAACATCGTATGGCAGTCATTGCACAGTTCCTTTGCGATCACATGTGTTACTGCCTCACGTCCTTCAGATCCAGGGCATATTCCGGTATTCTTCCCCTTTCGATTCGGCTCAACTGCTGTGGATGTTCTGGGCCATCATCTTTCTGCGGCCATCAGGTGATGGAGGAGGCCGCATCGGCATTGCACCTGAATCTTGCCTTGAAGCATGTTTGCGCGAAAAAAGTTGAAGAGCCAGCCACGTGTCCAAGTCCAGACGCGCACATGCTGCTTGCAATCTCAGGATGGTTGACGAGGAGATTCCGCCAATGCAGGTTGCAATGGTGCCTTAGCAGTCCAAGCAGTCCTACAAGCAGGAGTGGGCTAGAGCAACCAGGGTTCTGAAGCCCAGGTGGCAGACCCAAGCCATGGTGCGCTCAGCGCGCTGAACCCCAAGTACGAGTCGCTGGGCGAAGGCTCAGCGCCGGTGCATCGCTACTCGCCTGCGGAAAAGCGTTCTGAATGGCCGATGGATGCCGATGGCCCAAGCCCGAGCGCTGAGGCGACTCCATGTTCTCCCAGCTCTTCTGCGTCACTTTCAGCATCGGGGACTTGGCTGGGCAGGTCAGCTGCTGAATGTACAAGAAGTATGTCCGGGCTGGGTACTGGATCGTATGGGACTGTCTTGCTCGCACTGAGGTCATGATTGGTGAAGAGACGACGTTCTGCTGCATCAGCAGCAAGGCCTTGCCACCTGCAGACCAGGTCAACACTTAGGGCTTTCGCCAAACGCTACATGGCAGGCATTCTGCGGCTTCGGAGGACCATCGAGCTGCCCTGCAGCGAACTGCTCCTGTGAAATGCCCTTGCCTCACACAGGTCCAATTCTGGGGGGAGTCGCTTCCAGTCGAAAGGCCCCCCGTGGCCCCTGGATCCCTGTAGAATACGAGTGGTTTGTGCCCGGGTTCTTGGGGATTTATTACCTCAATCCCTGCACACCATCGGAGGTTGACGTGCGTTTCACGCTGACTACTGACTAACTCCATCATCATCCGAGTCCACTGGCAGCAGGCCTCTGAAGGCACCTCCACCGACCAGAGGGCCTGCTGCCCAAGCAGATAGCTGAAAGTCAAAGCCCGACAGGGATGTGCACAAGAACACTCTTCACGATGCCATCAACTTGGCGCAAGAACTCTCTCAGATAAAATGCGGATCGCTGCCATGCCCCCACATGTCCCCTGCTATCCCCAGCCCCCAGCGCCAAGATGTGGTTGTGAACGCAAACTTAATTAACCAGACCCAGGTTCAAGCCGGAGCTTCTATGCAGCGGATCCGGCAAGGCGAAGAGAGTGGCAAAGCGATTGCAGAGAATTGAGCGAAGTCCTGAAATCAGAGCAGCATTCGGTCGCTGTCAGGTCTTCTGCGCGAAGTTCGGCTTCCTCCTCCCGGAGAAATCGGCTTCTTTGCTGCTTTTTGGTGGCCTGTTGAGCTGAAGGGTTCGCAGTTTTCGCTGGTCCTTTGCCAGGTCGTCTGCTGTGGCAATACCTTGCTCTCCTGAGACTTATGATCTGTGGGCATCATTTTGTGGAGTGCGCCGCAGCACCCAGGCTGGAGTGGTACCGAGCCACTCTGCTGGCTTCTTGTATTTGCAATGCTCGATCTACAGCAGCGCCAGGTTATCGAATTTGTGGCCCAAACCAGGGGTTCGAGCTCTGGCATGTTCGAGTGCCGTGTCAAATCATGCAATGTTATGATTGACACTGTCGGCCCTCTTGAGGAGTAGATGTTCCGAGACTTGTCAAAAAGAAGCGCAGCACCTGCCCAACCGATCCTCATAGTATCCTTGCTTCATCTTGCTTCGTGATTCGGTGTACATTCCAGGCACTATTTCGTTCTTCTGGCGACACGCACCGGGGCGAAGGACTCAGCAAATGCACTGCGGGCAAAGCAGAGGCCACGGTAAGCAGCAATGGCAGGACTCCGGTCAAGACAGCTGGGTGCGCACCTGAGACTTCCGCGCCTGAGCACGATGCGGGTCGAGCTTCCGTCATGCTCTAGTTTTTTCAGGCGTGAAACATTCTTGAGTCCAGCAGGTTCACGACCTGGGCGTCTTTGTGTCTGCTGGCTGCAGCCTGAGTGGCGAATCATGCTCCTTAGCAAGTAGTGGCCTCCCCTGCTGAGGTGAAGAGAACTGAGGGCACTGTTTGGCAATGATGTGCCACTCAGCCACTCAGCCAATCTGCATCTGACCGCTGCCTTAAACTGGATCGACTTTGCTCCAGTTGGACGCAACACAACCACGCAGCGAGGTGGCCCAGGGGGCCCGGCCATTTCTCGAGTCACGAGTGCCAAAGCCGGCCTTCCTGTGGTTCTTTGCATCTCAAGTCTCGGTGGTACAGCTGCAGCAAAGACCGTCTCGTAGGGCTCCGAAGGCTTTGAAAACAAGGCTTTGAAAAAGGGGCGCGATTCGTGCGGTTCTCTCATCCATCATGTCGTCATGCTGCACACTACATATCTGAGAGATCCGCCATGCACCCTTACTCTCTTGCTGCATCTTTACTTCCTACCTCCTTGATGCATTCCAAAGCTGCTTGAACTGCGTCCGGCTCCTTGCGCGCTGCATCTGTGTATCGAAGAAAGATTATGTTCATGTTCCAGAATCCCAGTGTCCCGCTTTGCGTAGACAACCAGGCGCTTTGTAATCTACGAGCACAAGCATGAAGACGCTCGTTGTGCTGTTTGGCCTCACCCCAGTCAACTCCTACACACAGAGAAGGCAGATGCCCAACCAGTCTACTCGTAGCTTCAAGGCAGAAATTGAATCTTAGTAGCAGATAGACAAACCTGCACGACGGCCGAGCAGGCGGGCCATTGCGATGTATCGTTTGAATTCTGGCATGCTGCAACCTAGAAAGCTGAATTCCTCCTGCCTGGCAGACGTTGATGCCTTAGTGCCAACAGTTTGGTTTCGCTGCCGGCAAGTGTGCTTCCATCTTACAGGAGGTTCCATGCAGAACGAAGATGTTCAGTCCAATCCAGTGACATTTACGTGGGTTCTGTCGAAACAAAAACTTCCTCAGTCGCCGCGATGCAGGTCCTGCATGCCAAATGAAGAAGCTCTTCACTCTCGGTCCGCACTGGCATGGCCGCCGCCACAACGAAGTCGTAGGATGCTAGCATATGTTGGCTGAAACATGGCCTGCAAAGCAACGATTCCGCACGCATGTTTGCTGCATGCAGCTTGCTTCCATCCGTCGCCGAAACAACCATCTACAACCGTCATCTCATGCAGAAACGAACATTTTCAATCTGAGGCCAAGGCAGCGTCATTTTTGCCTGGCAGCCGCCAGAGACTGAATAATTTGGCGCAAAGTGACAATAACCTGGCTTTTTCCCAGCTAATCAGCCTGCTAACCTCTGACTCTGGCATCCATGCAGCGTCTGATGAAGCAGCACAGGTAGGAGGCTGACTTGTGGGTTGACGCCGTGGGTCTGTCCAGAGCAGAAGTTGATAAGTCCGCATTTATGGTTCGACGCCAGGGAGTTCAGTACCCCAGATCGTGCACGTCCCGGTTCACCTACACTTGAGGTTTTTGTCCTACAATGTCCTACATGTCTGAAGTGCATCGCAGACCAAGCTGAGCGATCCTGCCGTGGTCCGTCTGCCCAGAAACGGCAACTTCGTGGCATCCATTGGCGAGGGCCAGAGGCCATGCAGCTTTCTTCTTCGTCCGAAAACACCAAGGTAGAGACAGCAACGGTAGTTGAATCTCTGAGATGATGAGAAGTCTTCTGGTAGGCTTTTGCAGAACCTGAGAAGGAAGCACGGCAGATTCCAAGCTGCTTTTACAGGGAGCCCCATTCCAAATTTGGCCTCGAGCCCATTAGCACCAAGTACCAAGACGGGACCTGAAGCGAAGCCAAAACCTTAGACCTTAGAACTTGTGGTGATATCTTGCGGTCACGCAGGTGATCCCAACATTTTCACGCTGCTGTGTAGTATAGGAGACTAATCTCTTAGAGCACATTTGGCCAAGCGCACACCTCGAAGATTCCTTCGATTCCGATGGTTCCAGGAAGCTTCAAGACTGCATAACGTTAGTCGCCTCGCCAGGGTGGGCGGCACTTGTGCTATCGAGGTTGTCTCGGGGGTGTACAAAGATGCTACTGCTCGTAGGTCCAAGATTTTGGTGGTTCGAGCCAACACAAGGAACATCCCTCCTGCGTTTCACCCAAAGTAGACTTGACGCCGCTATTGATATGACGGGGACGACTGGGAGTTACCCTCGGTTATACGAGACACGTCGCTCGAAAGGCAATGAAGTTTTGAAACATGCAACCGCATGGATATCAGAACCGTCGAACTCTGTTGGTCTGTTGGGAAAGGAACATCCATCTCTTCGACAGACAGGGTGCCCGGATCTCGGCTTGAAGCTTTCGACCTGTCGCTGATGGAGCCAGGACAGTGACACTTCTGAGATCTTCTGAGGCTCAAGTGCAGGAAGTGACCCTGAAGTCGACAGCAAAGGCCCGGTCCGGTGCTCTTGCCAGTGTGGAAGTGGCAGCCGTGACTTCAGTGTTTCTGTGCTGCAGCCGTCCGATGGCCAGAATTGCTGCGTAGAATGCAGCCTTAGTGGAGTGCCTTCTTCCTTTCAATTCGTAGCATGCATGAGGACGGAGAAGGCGACCCATCCTTCACTTGCTGGGTACACAAGCGCCATGTCAAGGCAGCAGTGGCAGAAGGCCTTGGAGCTGCTAAGCGAACTTCGAGGCTTCGCTTTGCAGGCCAATGTCATTACCTTCACTGCTGTGATCGGCACATGTGCACGAGCTGGGCAGTGGCAGCAGGCGGCGGGCGCATTCAGGAGTATTCAAGCAGAGTCCTTGCAGCCGACCCTTGTAACATACAACTCCGGCATCAGGGCGTGCGACAGGTCCGTGCAGTGGAGGTCGGCGATCGAGTACTTCGCTGCTACGAAGCCGGACAAGATCACCTACAGCTCAGCCATGAGCTCATGTGGAAGGTGCCAGAGGTGGAGCGAAGGCATCGCGTTGTTCCGCCAGGCGCGAGGCGATGTGGAGATGGATGTCGTAGTGTACGGCTCGGCCATGGCAGTGATTGCCAGCATAGCGGAGTGGAGAGGCGCCCTTGGCCTTCTGCGACAAATGCCGGTGCAGAGTGTGATGCTCAGCCCCACATTGGGAGTATTTGTTTTTTTCACACACATTTTCATGTGTTTTTGGGGCCCTCCACTCTCCACCACCAGCTCTCTAGTTTTGGCACCATCTTTTTGGGCGACAACTTGCCTCGCAGGGAGTCCAACCTCATCGCAGTCAATGCCGCGGCAACTGCTTGTGAAAAGGCAGCCGAGTGGCGTTGGGCTCTGCGTGGGTACCTTGTCACGTCTTGTCACTGTTCAGCCTTTATAAGAATGCGTGCGCAGCGGTTGAATCGAAATCTCATTTCTAGCAGTAGTGCCACTTCAACCTGGGTACCAGCGAGAGAGGAGACTGCTAAGCCTTGAAGCTTTGCCACAGGATGCATGGCCTTCGCGAGGCAGGCTTGAGACCAGATTCGATCACCTGCAATGCTTTTCTGGCAGCCTGTGGGAACGTCTCTCTGTGGGAACAGCCCATCGCGCTGCTGAGAGAGACCAGGACACGAGACTAAGGGGGCATGTAAGCACAGGCTTGTGAATAGCTTAACTTCGTCCTGTTGGGTGCTTTCTGTTGCCGATTGACACGCGCGCATGTTGGGTTTGCTTTCGGCCAATTTGACGGGGCTGCCCAAATATGCAAGAGAAAAGACAGAGAAGCGGTGGCGCTTTCGCTTTAGCTTAAAGGAATCGGGGGGACGGGTACTCATCGACCGGCTTTTGCGAACCAGTTGAGGGCTTTCGTCCAGGACAGATATCGTCTCTCACAACTGTGCCATCAAAGCGTGCGACACACTGGAGCAGTGGCAGCGTGCCCTATCGCTGCTGGCTGAGCTGCCGAACGCCTTGGAGGGGCGAAAGCTTGCGGATGCAGTCACACACAGTGTGGCCATCAGCGCCTCTCAAAAGCAGACGAGATGGCAGAGCGGGCTCTTCATCTGGGACATCGAACATGGACGGGAAGCAACGGTGACGACCTGCAACAGTGCCTTGGCCGGCTGCGCAGATGCAGCTAGATGGCAGGAGGCTGTCTACTTCACATGTGGCCTGGACTCCAAGAGGCTACAGCCTGATGTCGTCAGCTACAACACCAGCCTCAGCGCATGTGCGAAGTCATTGAACTGGCAGTATCCCCTGTTGCTTCTATCAGTTCTTATGATGCTGAGGCCGCAGCCGACAACGATATCTTACAACTCAACTATCAGTGCTTGTGAGGGACTCGGAGAGTGGATGCAGGCGGTTCACTTGCTTGAAACTGCTGAGGGCTGCCGATTGCAGCCGAGTGTCATCACGTTCAGCGCCGCAATCAGCGCCTGTGCAGTAGGGAAGAAGTGGCAGGAGGCAGTCTTCCTGCTTGGAAAGTGTGCTGAGCAAATGTCACCGGATGTCGTGGCATACAATGCTTCTTTGAACGCTTGCGAGAAGGCTGGCCAGTGGTCGGCGGCTCTTGCTTTGTTGTCCGAGCTCTGTAACAATCACCACATCGCTGGTTCCGTGCCAGACGTCGTCTCTTACAACTCCACGATCAGTGTCTGTGCCCTGGCTGCCAAGTGGGAACTGGCCCTGTCCCTTCTTTGTCGCATGCCGGTGCAAAGGCTACAGCCCAACATAATCACCTATAACTCAGCCTTTGCAGCAATTGCTGCCTCGGCAGTTTCCGAGAAATCGGGGCCCAGATCTGGGTCTCGCGGCAAATGGCAACATGTACTTGAGCTCTTGCGTGAAATTCGCATCAGACGCCTGCATGCAAATGTACTCACTTACAATTCGGCCATCTCTGTTCTTGAGGCATGTGATCAGCACCTGATCACAGCCAGTCTTTTGGGTCAAGTGAGGAGTGCCATGGCGGGAGAAAGGGAGCTGAAATGCGAACTTGCCTGTCACTAATCAGGTGTTGAGCCCTGCTTGTGGGTACTTTCACGCATCCGGGCCCGAAGTTCCAAGCTGTTGAAGACGAGATACCCTGATTGAGCACCTTGCTCAGTTTGCAGGTGGTGCAGCTTGAGTGGGACAAGGCCACCCGAGCTAGGCATTCAGATTTGCCAACAAGTCGCCGGATATGGTGGATTCCGATTGGAAGATTTCTGCGTGCAATAGTACATGTGTGAGCAATGGTTCTTGCCGAGGCATTGGCCATCATCTGCCATCGCCGTTTAAACCACACCCTGTCAGACAAGCCATTTTCTTCACCAGAGCTTCTGCTGTTCGGCCCCCCGGACAGCACTACCTGCACAGCAGATGCTCTAACATATGCGGAGGATGGTGAAATTCTGGCCATTCTCCAACAAAAAGAAGAGACAGCCGGGAGCTCAAGCAACCTCGGGCAGAGTAGTCTTTGCAGTTACAGGAGGAAGCATGGCAAAGTGCGTTTGAAGACTGCGAGGGGCTGAGCAGAGCAGGTGATGTTGTGGCGCCACTCCGAAAACAAGCTGGACATGGTCGAGATGAACTCCAAGGACGTCGGCAAGCTTGTTGCCCCTCATACTCTCTCTTCCAAGCTTGTGTATGCCCATGTGGCTTGTTTTGCTGCTTTGATGGAGGATCCGACCTGGCTTTCGTGGTCCAAAACCGGGCCGCAGCTAGTTATCGGAACCGCACGAGGGAACCTCATCATCTACAACAAGAGGACACGGGACTGAGGGTCAGGGCGGTCGATTGGAGCCCCCGTCGACAGATTTTCGTCGCGCTTAGCTCGAGGACCATGAAGAAGCAGACGATTATGGGAAAGCATTCCAAGCGAATTAGTTGCGGAGCCCGGGCCTCGGACCACGTGACAATGTGAGCGCATCTCACGCTGTGCAGCCAGGGCTGGCACCCCGACAACATCTTCGCGACCGGCTCGGAGGAGCATCTTTTCGCCGTGTCTTTTTTGCGACGACGGAAACAAGCGTGGCTTGCTGTTCAGCAAGGACAAAACAATCTGCCTGAGCAACGAAGAGGGGCATGGGGCTCAGCCCTCTTCCTTGGACCGCTTGCTCAGTTGCAACTCTGTCATGGCTGAGCTGCAGAGTGTTTTGGCACTGATCCTTGCTTGAGGGATCCCCTAGAAAGCGGCGGCGACTCAGAGCCCTTGCGGATCAAGAACGCAGCTCCCGACCTGTTTTGGATGACGGCATATGACGGCAGTGCCTGCACGATCGAAGCAGAATGGAGTCGAGATGGGTAATGTGCCAGGATCCCAGCATGCTGCAAATAGCGGACGTGAAGTCTGACGACCCGAAAGGCCCTGGTTTGCTGGTCCGCGATGCGGATTCCAACGTAGCAAAGGGACGTGGTTAATCTCCAAGCCGCCAAAGCCGGTGCATGACTCAGATTCCGAACGCGAACGAGTTGTCAGCATCGTCTTGGGGGAGGCTGGCCACGAGAAGAGTTGAGGTTTCAGGGCTCGATGGGATTGAAATCGCGCTGGGATGTGCTGCTGGCAGGTGACTTTGTTGCTCTGCAACTTAAAAGATCCGCAGAAGCCAACAGAGCTGGCTTTCCAACCGAAGTGCGCCCGATCCAGTGCTCGTGGAACCTTCGTTCTTAGCACAGTGAGCTGTGTGCTAAGGTACGGCACAATCAAGGCCTACAGCTGGATTGGAGATGGCTATCTGGTGGTGGGGGTTCCAAGAATGTTTGTTGCTGTGGTTTGGTCCTAGAAAAGTCAGCGTCGACGGCTCAGGAAGCACTAAGTCACCAAGTCGCCTCACCTGAGTATCTCTTACTCGTAGCAAGTCGTGTGCAGACCTGTGGCTGAGGTTGGCTTCTCGCAAGGATACATAGCCCCGCGCCGAGAGTTGAAGTGAAGATGTTTGCAAGACCAGACTGCTTATGAGCCTCTAAGCACTTATCTAGTTCCATGGCAAACTGCCAACCCCGACGATTTTATTTGATTTCTTTACAACTTGTAGACAAATGGGAGAGGCCTTCAGAAAGCATGCAAGCGTCTTGATACGGTATGCAAACTCAGGTAGTCATTAGCTCGCGCCTGCGGGAAATCTCGGAGGCCGCCTATTACGTGCTCTTGCCTGTTCATTGGCATCAGGTGGTGTTGCAAGACCACCTGTAAGCAGGTGAAAGAACTACAGTGTAAGCCACATGCCGTACTGTACCTCGAAGATTGAAAACGACAGCGTGGTGCTGAGATGAGATGTACTGCCGGCTTGGCCAGGAGCTTTCGTCCGTGAAATATCACCGGAACACTCTCGACTGCCTTTGTTGCAGCAAGGCCTCGGGTTGTCGGTCTGCAAGCAACCATGTTGGAAGGGTATCCGAAAGTACACTGGCGGCTCAAACTGAGTGAGTGTTTTCCTCACCGAATCGCGCAAGGCTGCCGGCAAGATTGCCTCCGCAGGGGATGATGGCATCAAGCTCATCAGCATGAAGGACGGACTCATGAGCTTCCCCGAAAAGATTCCAAGGTTCTGGCACACTGCACAGGACTGGACCGAGATTCGAGGGGAAAAGATACAAATCCGCCCTGAGGCGAAGGTGCAGAGTGATTGTTATGCGTTCGGCAGGGCTCGTAACTTCCCGCTTTGCCCTTGCGCTTCCCACACAAGTCCGTCTTTCGGTCTTTGTGAGTTTGCTGGCAACGTCGACGAGACATGTTCGTGATGTGCGCTTAGCGTAGGTGACGCAAATGCACTGGTCTGATGACGGAGAGCACCGCCCCAAGTGAGCATTCATATCAGTATCCATTGGCAAGACATGGCAAGGCATGCGCCATGTTGAGGTTGCTGTCGTTCTGTACAGAGACTGGCTGGGTGCAAGCCTGAGGGTGCCGTTAGGTCGCGCCAGCCTTGGGCAGAACTGCACTCTATACAGCGTCTGTCTGCCTTTCAGCATCCTCCATCTGCAAGTGTAGAGGGGCTGGACATGATATGGAACGGTGGCGAAGCTTTACATAAAGGCAGGTTCAGGTTTGGGTGGCCCGTATCTCACGGAAGACTGGGCTAAAGATGCTGGCACGAAAAGTAGAGCAGCATGTGCATAGCATTCCAAGGTCTACTGCTTCCTAGCCAAGTTGTCGGCGCTCTCGGCCACCTGTAATACGCGGCACCTCGGTCGAGCAAACAGGAACGGATTAGCAGATGCCCTTTCGGCGCATTTGTCAGTCGACCAAGGTTGGCATATTTGACTTCGTTGAGAGAGATGACAATCATTGAGGGAACGGCTGATACGGAGAACAAGGCCTGAGACTGGGACTTGGGGAGTAGTACTTACTACTGCGGTCAAGACGGGAACTGACAGTTACCTTCAAGCATGGCAGCCATAGTGGCAGAAAGTCGTGTGAGATATGCTGACCTGTCTTTTCGGGGAGCTGTGGCTGAGTGTGCAGCGGCAAAGGTGGTCCTCCAAACTGACGTGGAGCCTGCTTTTGTGGCCCTGGGTCCTTCTCACTTAGCGTGTGGAACTTAGTTTTGGAAGCAGGCATAAGTCTTGACAGCAGCAGGCGTGCAATTCTGGTGAATGCGGCCTCCAGGACAGGAATGAACAACCGAATCTGGTTCTATTCCTGCACAGATCAAGCAGCCGTCGAGAAGGTCAACGAGCAGGACTTCACTGACGCAGAGAGTTAATTACTTAGGAACGAGCGCATGCACCTTCGACGGACCCTGATGTAGAGGAGTACATCGGCAGCGTGGAGAGCGTGAGCTTGAATGCAACCCACGCTTGCGTCTTGATCGACGGCCGTGTGTGCCCTGTCGTTGTTTGCCGCTATTGTCGATTATCTTTCGCCTGTGCTTGGCATATTCTTCTTCTCCGCGTTCTCGGTGGTAGTGGCGGCGGTGGTGATAGTGGTGGTGGCGGTGGTGGTGGTGGTGGTCGTGGTCGTTGCTCCTGCAGCCTGTGTTGTGTGCAGATCTACGGGGGTGGAAGCCGCTACTGCAACATCCTGCACTCTCAAGCCCCAGATGAAAAAACCTCAGTCAGCTTTGGGACCGATAAGCCCTCAACGATCGACCCAGATGCTTAACAATGATTCCACTTGAAGATTATTGTTGATGTTTTTCACTGTCAATCCTAACAGTGGACGGCTGCAACGACGACGTCATCGTCATAGTCATCATCAGCATCAGCATCAGCATCAGCATTGTTTGTCTGTGGCTACCTCGCCTAGCTCCCTTGCTTAATGAAGCGTCCCGTTCCCTGCATAAATCTGCACCGGAAAATCGTCATGAGCACTCCGCCAGCCAGTGAACTTCGGCTCATAGACTCCAGCCCATGGCCATTCGCCTGATCACAAGGCCTCGGAGAGGCCGACTAGACCTGCACTGAAAACCTCTGCTCTTGGCATCGCTGCCCTGCTCGTGGAGTTCCGAAGGCGGTTTGCCAGCCCGACTGACGGAAGGCTGGTGTTGTGCCGGGGGTGCGAAGGAGAAAGTGCACACAGACATAGGCTGGAAGATTTGGAAGCTGCCGTGCGGTCCCTTCAGCACTCCTTTGAGGATGTTGGGCCGTTCTCTCAGGCCCTCAGCGGCCAAGTCACAGAATGCTCACAGTGAAATCCAAGCCCGACCTGAGGCACTGAGTCTGAGCCTGGACCGAAGCGACGCCGTCAGGTGAACCATATATTCCGGAGATGTCCCCATCCCTATGAAAGCACAGGGAGACGCACTGCGCCGCGTCCAGGACAAACTCCGGGTCGGCCTCGTGGGCCTCGGTTCCATCGGCACGATCGTCGCTGAGGCGAGGAGAGCAGTCAATGTCATGACTCTTACGAAGCGTGAGAACTTTTTCGATCTTTTTCTGCAGGCCCTGACTGGTCCGCGCCAGCATCACGCCCGCAAACCATCTCTCAGCCTCCGGTGGCTGTCCTCTGATCTTGACCAGCTTTCGACACGTTCAGGTCGCTGCCCGGAGCGGCCTTAGCAGCTGTGCTCACTCAAAGGCGTGGCAGAAACTGATCTCGCAGCAGCTTCCACCAGAAGAATCTCGGCTGTCTGCGACAGGCTGCGTGACGCTCGTCCACCAGAAGTGGGGTCTCAGGCCACTCGCACTGGTTAGAAGACAGTGTCGTGCAGGACATGGCGATCAGACATACTATGGCGTTGCAAGGCGCTGCTGACGACAGACGTGGAGGCCGTCTACAAGCAAACATGTATCTGGACCTCAGCTTGGTAGATCCCCGTGAGACTTGAGAAGTCCTCTGCCCACAAGCCTGCGTGGCCGTTTCGTCCAGATCTTATGAAATCTGCAAACCCGAGGCATTCCTCGGCTCTGACTGGCGCCTTGACGGCAATTTGCATCCCTCCCTCCCCTCCATCCAATGTGCTTCAACTGTGCTTCCCGTTGTGTGTGGGTCCGTGAAGGTCTCTATGCGTTGAGGCCGCTGGCCAGCCTTGGGCCAGGCTCCAAGGGCGGTTGAAGACGAGATCACGAAAGATCCAGCAAATGCAGCAAATGTTTCAATGGTGACTGTAAGCAATGGGAAGGTTAGGATGTCGGAGAGCCGAACGCAGGTTACTCGCTTTCAGGATGTCAGTATTAATAGGCTCGGGCGGCACCGGAGACAGGGTTGACACAGTGTCGGTGTCAGCGAAGCAGCAACCTAACATGTTCCTGAAAAACAAGCACCGCAAAAGCCATTCGGGATCATTAAGCAGCACGACTAGACATGGCTTTGCGGGCTGAGCATCTCGCTCCCTCAGAGGTTCGAGAGAACGGCAGACGAGTACTAGCCGAGGCACCGTTGCACTCGCCAGCAGTGACGTGAAATAGCTGATGAAGTCTCGTGGACGTGACGGCTCCATGCGTTGAAGGGCCGGGACCTCTTGGTGACCTCCGTGGGCGTCTTCACAGAGGATGCGCTGCTGGAGGACGCTGTGGCTGCTCGACACAGGCGGAGAGTATGTATATAAGCCAATGCAAGCTTTGCTTGAGAC